TACCGCGTGGTTTGGTACTCACCCCTTGCTTCTACAAATTTTTGTAGGTTACGAGCCTGGATCTTCTTGATACCTGTCATTCTTTTCGTTTCCGAGGCATCTTGTGGAGGGTTGTGAGGTAGCTGCTTGTCATCTCAGCGAACTTTCCTACTCCAGTTTATGATTTTGTTTTTACTTGAAAGACAACTTCATTTTAGACTCCTATTTTATTTCAATCCTAATATTTACATTAGAGGCTTGTGCACGTGACAACCTGGTTTTGGGAATTGAATTAATATGACTTGGTTTCATAATAGAAATTGTTGTTGAATTGTCTTTACTTCCGCACTTTGTTAGATATTTGGTTTTAGGCTGAATTGTCTTGGTGGGATAAGACGAGTGTCATCACACCCATTTTTGGGTCGTGACAAAATAATATGTTGAAAGCGACGCGTAACTTCCAAATGCGTCCATGTTGAATTATATTAGGATTATTTGATGCTAATTGCCAATATTAGGAAAGGTCCCTTAAATATGAGAGATTTATTATTCATAAAAAAAAATAGATATCAAGGAAATGACGTGACAAAGTTTTTTACAAAAATTAAAATTAATTTCAATAAAATGTTCAAAAATATATAAAAAGAAGATATTAAAGACAAAACATAGTATAGTTGGTTGTCTCGACATTTTGGTCGAGCCTGCATGTATAAATAATAATTCTTTGAGTAGTTTAATTAATATAACAAAAAATATTTCTTCTTTGATTATAATAAAGAGATTCTCCCTTTCGAGTGTATGCATCTTTATCTATATTCTTCTTTTTAGTGTCATTTGCTTTTATGTTTTTCATTTAACATTGCTATGTATATATTGTATTGTCTCAATATTAACTCAGGTTTTGTGCAACAAGATGAAATCTTTCCCTCCTTTAATCTACTTCTCTTGCTTTTATTTCAATGAAGTAGCAGTTTCTTGATTCGAATTAAAGTTGTTAGATTTCGGCATTCGTCTAATTTTGGGATTCTGATGATTATTCACTTCTTCAATGTTATTGCTTGACAATAGAAATTGGGCTAATTTTCTGTTACTTTATTAATTAGAATTAGATGTATTTTTTTCTTTCAAGTTTCTATTGTGATTGACACCTGAGTTAAAAAAAAGTTAGTAAGTACATTGCTTCAACTTGATATACTAGCACATACTTAATGGTTATGTTATTATGTATTAGTATCTGATTATCTGATGGATTCGCTACATTAATATTTCACCTAAATTCAAACTTTTACCCTTTCTTCGCATTTGACTGCAGATAAGTATGTCTTTGGAAGAACAATACGACTCGGGGTACAACATTAGACCCATTGCACAAGTTTTTATTGCGGTCGGTGTTATGATCTTCGTTTTAATTTTGATATTTATATTAGTCAAAATTTAGAGAAACGTCGCAGTTAAAAGGCTGCATGATGATGAGATTGAAATGGGGAATCCTTAAAATTATTTTATGAAAAATGCTGTAATTGGGAATGATATAAATTTGATATAGTATTAAAAATGTTGTAATGGAATGAAATGAATTTGATAAAGTACTACTTTATTATGAAAAATATTGTAATGGGAATAAAATGAATTTGATATAGTACTATGGTCTTCGATTGTTTATTTTTATTATTTTATTTGGCTGCTTCAAGTATGTTATAAGATCATATCTTTGGTAGAATTTGTTGTTTGTTATATTACAACTGTATGAACTTAGCTGTGTAGTAATGAAAATTTTTGTAAGCAACGGTCTGCGTTATATATAGGGAAAACATAGTATCCACACAGATAGTAATAAAAAGTATATTGGCCTAATATTTCTCGTCACTCTAATTAGACTTGGCGCTCAAAGTATTGATAAATCCACAAATGTTAATTTTCAGGTGCAAGTGACATGTAAATGGCACTAATATATTTGGTATGATAAGTTCGACTGAAAAATTATTCGTATTCAATAATGCTTAGTATAGATTATTTCGATTATAACATTTGATGGTTATTGCCTATCAGAATTTGTATTTATCCCAAGTACTTCAAGGCATTATGTGCTTATATCAGGGAGGAAAACATTTTTTTTTATGTGTGAACAAACTTTTGGCCAGAGTGACGTGGCTCCTTATTATACGTACATTTTCTCTTCTTTTTTTTCTCATTTTCACGTTGAAAGTAAACAACTTCATTCGTAGCACCGCGCCATATATTTTGATAGTGACTTTCTCCTATTAAAAGTATTCCTCTTTATTTATTGCGTGAAGTAGTTAAAATGCTCTGAATTTAATGCGCATTTTAAACCTAAATACTTAAAGATTCTAATTTTAAATTCGTTTTAGTGACTTCAAGAAATTGATGAAAAGAAAGTGGAGGAAAGTCCGTTGAAATGGAGTTGTCTATGTTAACGGGAGTTAAAGTGTACCTTATGGAAATGAAATATAATAATTGTGACAATGATAGGACATTATTTTAATTTTTTTAAAAAAATTGGTCCCCTTATTATTCGAAAATATTGGGACTTAGATCATATAACTCATTGAGTTTGGTGTAGGTGCATTCATATTTCCAATAAATCTTATGATCAGTGAAATAATCATCACTAAATAAAGATCAATTATTTTCCACCGAAAATGTTAGTGGTGTTGGTGAAGTATGATCTAGTGGTCAATAAAATGATTGAAAATCATAAGATTTAGTTTTAAAATTCAGCGGAAAAAAAACACTAGACGATTCTTCTTATTTGCCCTAACTTTTATAGACATAATTACTGGATACTTGTTATTGATAGAATATGGCATATATCTCGTGTAATTATTCGATATTTGTTATTGATAAAAAAAATTGAAAATTCTTAAAACAAAACTTCCTTCTGATTTTTTATAGAAAGATGAAGACCACAATTGAGAAGAAGGACTACATGAAAACTTAAAAAAGAAAGAGTGCATTTTCTTCTCTCTTTTTTTTCACAAAGAAAAACTATATACTTATTAGTACGAAATGATAGTTATAATTACGTTATAAAGTCAAGTGGCAGAACAATAAAAAGTCATTTAGGGGTGAAGTGATAATAATATGAATTTTATTGGTTTTAAATTATAAAACAGCAACATTAAGTGATAATATTTTGTTTTGAATCTATTATGTGTATATTCATGAAATTAATTAAGACTGATATTAAAATTGCCCTATAATTTCAGTAAAAATATCATTATTATTATTATGAACAAAATAATACTATAGAAAAGTAAATTAGATTTTGAAGGAAATTAGGTCATTATACTCATGAAATGTTATTATAATGAATCTGTGTTATATCGAATTTAATTGTGTATCATATGTATTAGTAAAGCCTCTTAATTTGGAGGTCATGAAATTTGAAATTATTAACAAATCTTGTTGTACTAGCTGGAAAAAAAATATGGACCGATAAAATAACGATACGTCTTCAAAAAAATCTTTGAAAAATCCAGAATTGTTGTGTTTATGGGGGCCATAAAATTGTTGCTTTGGGGGGTCAACATTTTGCATAAAAAATGACAGAAATTCCACATTTAAGTTCTCTTATTACCAATATTCCCTACTAGTTTTATAAATTTCCAAAATATCTTATTTTTGCGCATAAGATTAATGTATCTCGCATCTAATTAATGTATCTCACACATCAAATTAGTGTATCATGTATAAAATGTAATGTATCTTACTTAACGATATATGTATCTCACGCATTAAATTAATGTATCTCCATCAGATAAATGTATCATATATAAAATGTAATGTATCTTACTTAACGATAAATGTATCTCGCGCATCAGATTAATGTTATTATAATGAATCTTTGTTATAACGAATTTGATTGTGTATCATATGTATTAGTAAAGCCCCTTAATTTGGAGGTCATGAAATTTGGAATTATTAACAAATCTTGTTGTATTAGCTGGAAAAAAAATATGGCCCAATAACACAGTGACACGTCTTAAAAAAAAACTTTGAATAATCCAGAATTGTAGTGTTTATGGGGCCCATAAAATTGTTGCTTTTGGGGTCAACATTTTGCTTAAAAAATGACAGAAATTCCATCTTTAAGTTTTCTTATTACTATTATTTTCTGTTACTTTTATAAATTTCCAAAATATCTTGTTTTTACGCATAAGATTAATGTATCTCGCGCATCAGATTAATGTATCTCACACATCAAATTAGTGTATCATGTATAAAATGTAATGTATCTTACTTAACAATATATGTATCTCACGCATTAAATTAATGTATCTCCATCAGATAAATGTATCATGTATAAAATGTAATGTATCTTACTTAACGATAAATGTATCTCGCGCATCAGATTAATGTATCAGCGCTTATAGTATTGTATTAGTTTGAATGATTTCTGTAATTGTAAACTTATAAGGGACAAATTATAATTTTACCTTAAAAATATGTGATTTTTATTCTTTGCCCATTATGTATTGATAAAGCCCCTTAATTTGGAGGTCTGAAAACATTGGAATTATCAACAAATCTTGTCGTATTAGCTGGAAAAATAATATGGCCCAATAAAACAATTACACGTCTCAAAAAACCCTTAAAAATCCATATTTGTTGTGTTTATGGGAGCCATAAAACTGTTGCTTTTGGGAGTCAACATTTTGTAGTATTATTATGAAATTGGACCACACTATTATACTATTAAAAACAAAAATTGGTTGACCAAGAATCTCGATTTTGTGATTTATATTATACTAGACGCATGTGTCGTGTTAGTACGATTTCAATATCTATTATTTTTTTATTTTATTTTATGTGACACATATAAAATTTTAAAAGTCAATTAAATTTTAATATGATTTTTAAATACTCTAAATTAATTATTGTAATTTATTGTATTGTTATGTAATTTTAAAATAATATATGTTACTTTCTTTGTCCCAATCTTTCAAGAGTAAATTTGTTGTTAATGTAAAACCACACATGTTGGTTGCCTCATGTGTGGTTAAGATGAAATAACTAAAATATGAATAAGAATTATATTTACGTAATACGAAATGTCAAAAGACTCAAATCAATAAAGAAACTGAAATTAATTAAAGACCTCTACTAATTAAAACATAAAATTTCAAGCTGAAAATCTCGTAAATCAATTAGTAGATGTAAAGGTCTTTAATCAAAATTATCACTGCCTCCGTGCACTATTAACTGTCATACTTTCCACTTTTAAAGTCAAATTATAAAAAAATTGACAAACATTTTACAATATATTTTTTCATCATATTGATATACAAAAAATTGTAATGTATAATACTTTTAGTATAATTTATTAATATCTAATTTTTTTTATTTAAAATATTGAATAAATGTAATTTAAATTAAATTTGTAAACTAGTCAAATAGACTTTTGAAAAAAGTAACATGACAAATAAAAATGAAGGACAAGAGTACAATTGCTTTACGGGATAAAAGAAGAAGCTAAAATTAAAACAGAAATAAAAAATAATGTTGGCAAAGTTTGAACGCTAGACCTTGGGGTTGATATGTCATACCTAAACTAGTAGGTCAAACAACATATCACCTAAACAAACACAGAGCTGAAGAAAACTTGTTGATCTCTTACGTATAATTAGTAGAAGTAGATAACGTAGTTAACATGTTGTGAAGCATCAATTTTTATTTTGTTTGACTTTTTTTTTCTTTTTTTTCTAATTTAAGCATAAAATAATTTTCATCTCATTTTATGTGACCCTTTATTAGATTACCACAATTTTACAAAATCAATGCTACTTTTCTATGTTAAAAGTACTACTAGTGAATTAATTCACACTTCGCCTCATTACAAAAATCTTATTAAATTTTGTTAGTATTCCCTTAATCCTCGAATGTCAAGATTATTGAAACTTTTTTTAGTCTTGAATTTCTTAACACATTATTTCTTAAGCTTTAAGCTATACATAATATTTGTATTGATGCATCATAATATTATGATATAATATCTCCTCTTTTAATAACAATTAAAAAAGCTATGCAATTATGTTATTTATTTTCTTTTTAATTTTAGAAATTTTAATCATCTATAAAATACTTGACTTATATATAATACTAGGTTAATAATTTATTAAAAATAATAAATTATGAACCAATCAAATAAGTTTAATTTAATTTATCTATTTAGAATCGTCTTGAAAATAATAAGAAAGAGATACAATAAAATTAAGGAAAGAAATCAATTAAATAGATTTTATTAAAAGAATATTCACAACTTTTTAAAATTTTCATTTGATTTTTCTTAATTTACTTTATTTTATATAATAGTTTTCTTATGCAATTTTAAATTTTTTTCTCAAAAGTTTCATTGAGTTAGTACATGAGAATAGAGTTATTTAGAAATAATATAAGTGATATAAATAAAAAGAATAAAAGACAAAAAGTAAAAATAAAATGTGGCTAATAAATATAAACAAAGATAAATTGAGAAAAAGATATAATATATAAATAATAATAAAAAAATCAAAATACAGTTCTAGATTGAATTCAAAAATAATGAGACCTTTCATTGGATATTAAAACTTGAGTCAATCTCAGTCTTTTCAAGGTAAAAGAAAAAGATTGAAAACTATTCCACTCTACGAGAATGAAACTTGAAATTTAACAATTTGTCAGTGAGTCACGCTCATCTTTAATTGTAGAAGAGGTTCATTTTATTATATATACACTTATAATAAAAAATTATGAATAAATCCTAAACTACACATAATTTTGCCCCTGCTTATCAATATGTGCGATTTGGCCAAATTTATTATCAATATGGTTAGAATATACGATATATATTTGCTAAGGAACAAGTTCCAGTGCTTATCACCTTATTTTGTTATTGTCATTTAACAAGTATTTATTTTTTGTAAAAAAGATATTATTTAACTAATATTTAGTATTAGGTAATTTCCAATAATTTCAGTCTAAAAAGAAAAATCTTTTAAAAAATTGGTCATTACTATTACTGATGATACTGTTTTTTGGGTTAATGTGTTCCCAAAAAAAATTACTAATGCTTATTTGTTTTTTAATATATTAAGAAAGTTAATTAATTTTTTTATTAGTATCGTAATTTATAATTATATAAACAATTAAGATATATTTTTAAATTATAAAATTTTAGATGTTATTTTTTTTCTCTAATTTGTTTTCAATTAAATAAAATCGCATAAAATAGGAAAGTGAGACTATAGTATCTTTTGGGGCTACCATGTTTTTTTAATGAGTTTTAGCTTTGTTTTGGTTTTTCTTTCATGTGAAATAATCTATATAAATTACCTAATATTATATAAATATTTTTAAAAAGAAAAGGAAAAGAAAAATAAACAAATTCAAAGGGATTAACGTGACACCAACGGGATTTGTTATACGGTTAGGATAAAATTCAATTATTTAATGATATTTTATCTCTGTTTTACAACTAAACGTATATGATTAAATTAGTGCAGCAAAAAAATTTTAAGGTGAAAAAGTATGTGGACTTATTTAATCATGTACTTAGTTAGTAAATTATTTAATTGTTTGTTTTCTTAGTGAGTAAATTATTGTGTTTATATGAAAAAAATGCCTAAAAATGAGAAAGACAAATAGAAATTTTAGAAGAAAAACAAGTCGCACAGTAAGTAAAATATATAGCAAATTTAACAGAGAAAAGATGAGGAGGAGAAATGGATGAAATTTTTTGTAAAGAGGTGAAAAATAGAGAGATGTATTTGGGGATTTAATTTGGCAAATATTTATTTGGTTAGTTGGCTGCGTTTGAATTTTTTTTAAATCCAGTAATTTTACTAGAATTAATTTTTTTTTGGTTGATTTAAAAATTTTCATCCAATTTAGGGATACGAGTGACAAGTTTATACTCAACAAGAGTATAAATAACTCCATTTTAATGATAATGACAAGATCAACAATAAAAATTGAGAGGTATTTTGCACCATTTTCCTTTGCATTTATTTGGAAGTTAATATAACATTCAAATTAAAGGTGTATATAGAACAAATTGGAACAATTTTCTTCAACTTCTTTCATGATTTGGAAGATTTTTTTTCCTATTAAACATGTGTACTTTCACCTGGTCCCCCGTAAAGAACAAAATACTTGTCTTTTGCACCATGTGAAAGTTCTTTAAATTCAACCTTGTATGGATAATCGGTATGTGTGATTGTTGAATCTACTTCAATTGTTTTTCCTTTCTCGTTTACAATTGTAACATCAGCACAATAAGCATCATATAAAGTGTTTTCAATAGGAAATTGGCTTGAGCCCATCGGAGGTTCAGGTACACCTGGTGGACTATATACAACTCCTCCCCAATCAACATTCGTAGCAAAGCTTTTCAAGTCAGTGAAGAGACTTTGTGGCCAGAAACCTACTCGCGTAAAGTTTGGTGTCATTAAAAGCCACCAATTTCCTGATAAGTCCTTTTTTCAAAAAGAAACTAAAATAATATTAATAAGTTATCATAATAATATTTATCTCTTAACTATAGTTCCTATATCTGTATAAAATATTCAAAGACTCGAAATAAAAAAAATAAAGACAATATAAAATGTACCCGATCAATGTGTACTGTTATACCCCACTGTTCTCCTCCACGTTGTGAAATATTCATGAATGGAGTATCAAGAGGTATGTCATGGTTTACTTGTACAAAGCCGGGACATAATGTATTGAAACAATGAATTTTACCAGCCTACAAAAATAGATATATCTCATGCCTGCTTAAAAATAAAGGTAGATAGTTAAACTAAAAGTGTGTTTTCTATGAAGGAAAATGTGTTTCTTGAATAATGTTTTCCTACGTAATGTTTTCTTGAAAAGAATAAGTGGATTTCTAAGTTATTTTCTCATGTTGGTTGGTGAGTAGAATTCTTTTTTAATGTTTGGTTGGTAAATGAAACACTTTTTTCCGAAAATATCTTTAATTTTTTGCTTGAGATAGAGAATACTCTTTAGTAAAAAAAAGTTTTTGAAAATCAACCCGAATAATCGATCTAGGACCCGAACCTCACACCAAAACTAGGACAAAATCTCGACGATCGCTCAAAAATCCGACCTTAAGATCTGACTCGTGTCTTGAACCATAAATATTTTTCAAAAAACAATTTTTTAAAATAAGGGGACGGATTGGGAGAGGGGGGGGGGGTTGAGTGTAGGGATGGTTAAAAAAAAGAAATTTTGAAATACATTTCGATTTTTTTGAAAAAAAAAATTGATGTTGGGGGGGGGGGGTGTAGGTCTGACATAAAAAAATTGAAATTTTATATATTTGAATTTATTTTAATAAATATAATTTTTTAAAAAGAAATTAACGGAGAGGGGGGTTGGTAGGGTTGGGAGACGTAAAAAATCAAAATTAATAAATCTGAGATACAAAAAATAGTTCTTTTTTTAAAAATTGATAGGGGTTGGAGTTGGCCGGAGGGGTAGTGGTGACATAAAATAGATTTTCTAAAAATGATTGGAGTAGGGGTTTAGGAATTAGGGGTGGGGAATGAAGAAAAAAATATTTTTAAAAATGAAAATTTGACGAGGTTCTTGTGTGGGGGGAAGAGGTTGCATAGTTAGGGTATGGGATGGGTAAAAATGAAATTTTAAAAATTTGACTCTTTTTTTGGGAGTGGGGGGAGGGGATAGGCATGATAGTGGTTGGATGAGGTAAAAAGTCTGTAAGCTTGAAATATTTTTCAAAAATAATAATTTTTGAATTTTTTAACTATTTTTTTGGTGGAGGGGTGTTGGTTTAGGGATTGGGGATAAAAGTAAAAGAATATTTGAAATTAAGAAAATAAGATTTTATTTTTTGATGTGGAGGGTCGGTTGGGGTAGAGTAAAAAATATTGTAATATTAGAATGAAGTAGGCTTTTAAATTTTTTTATTATTATTTTTTAAGAAAAGTCATATTTCTTAAATTTAAGAAAATTAAGTTGATTTGGAAATCATTTTCTATAACATTTAATCCAATGGACATGAGAAAATTATAAATACACACTAAACACACCCTAAAAGATATACTAGTTTAATGAACTCAAAAGGAAAATCACCATAGTACAAAAGATAGTTACCTGAAAATGTATAAACAATCTAGTTTTAATATCCCCGTATAACGTTGGATCCACCTAAAGCACGAAACAGAGATATTATATTATAGTTATTAAATATTCAACATTTGATAACAAATTTTCTAATATACTCTTAAAAGCACAAAATTCAATAGTTAACACACATCCTTCTTCCACAAAATGATAGAATAAAGAAACAAAAAATTGATATAAACTTACTCTCCAACCAACTTGTAAGATATCTGATCCTTTATGAATTTTTAGTCGAGATCCACTGTGTTGTTGTCCATTAACTTGAGGATTGTACAAAATAGTAACCATTCCGGCTCCCGCAAAGTTGTTATGTGGATTATATGAAATTTGAGCTATTGCAACCTGAATTTTTTAAATTGTTTTTAGTAGATCTTACAGAGTATTAAACTAAGAATAAATTGTTCCTTTATTACTTCAAACTCAATCAAATAAAATATGGACATTAAAAAATAATAACTATAGTCATATACCACCTTATATCCTTGTGAAGATATGTATCCTCCATTTGGCCTACTATTGTTGTTGCTCTGCATTAGAAAATGAATTTATTTTTACTTTTGAAAACGCAAGATATATAGAAGTAAATTGGCATAAATCATCTTACAACATCATATTCAGCGTTGAATGTGACATCCTCCGGAGGAGGCATACGAGATAATCTTATAAGATCATCTTTTGTCATTCTCTTAACAGGAACAGTTCCAAAAGGACATCCTCCATCTTTTGACCATATTGTCCATGACCTATTAGTTGTTGATGAGAAGGTTGAATCTTTCTTGATCGTAGATAAAGTAGGTTTCATCTGCTCAATCAAATGTTTAATTGTATGTCAATAATATCATATCCAATAGGAACAAAATGATAACGAAATGAAAAGAGAGTAGAGATATGCCTTAGGATGAAAATTATGGTCCTTCAACAACGGATTATCAAATGCTCGTTGTTTGTAGAAATCTACACAGTCGTATGTATCTCCATATTTAGTCTGTAAACAATTAAAATTAATAAAACAAGTAACTTAAGTTAGAACAAGATGTACCATTTAAAAACAAAACATACTCACGAGAACAATTCTTAGTAAATGGTGATACTACTACTTTGCTTTTTAAAAAAAAAAAAAAGATATTTTTTATCAAATATTCTATCAAACTTTGAGAAAAGACTTATCTAGGTCATTCGTTCGTATTTTAGTCATTTATACTACTTTCATGAAAAAATGTTCATCGAAGTCATTACATGTTAATGAAAAATACTTCGATAGATGTGTTCTAAGCCATTGTTATGCCCTTGACTCCAATTTGCAAAATCAAATGCAAAAATTGTGCTTAATCCATTTTAGTTCATTTGTTTGATTGGATTTGACATGAAGTTTTAAGAGGTAATTTTGTTGAGAATCTTGTAATCTTAAAATAAATATATAGAGAATATATCAAAGTTCTCTTAAATCTTGTGGTTTAAACATGTTATGTGAAAAAAATAGAATCAAATATTTCAAAAAAAATGAGAAAGAACATTTTTCTCATATCAAATTAAAAGAAAAAGTAAAACAAACAAATCGAAACAGACTTCCCTGCTCAATCTTCAACTACAACAAAAGTTTACATTCAAAGAAGGAATTAAAGGGAATGTTCTCCATTTCTCGAGAATCATGTGACAAATGAATGTTTTCTCTAATATAAAAGTGATATTATCAAATAAAATGTCCTTTGCAATTAGAAGTATAAAAAAATAAATTTTTTGAAAAAAAAATACCTTTACTGTTTTGACGGCTGGTTTGTTCAAAAATTTTAGTTATTTCTCTAACTCCGCATTCTCAAATTTGGATAGATTTTTTTGCCCTTCCACCCTATTATAACTTAACATAAAATATAACATCAATAACGTTTGTTGAATCATTCTTTGATCCATCCTAAATTCATTTCTTTTTATAGGCATGAATCTTAGGCGTTTTGAAGAAATTAGATTAATTAATTCAACAGGAAAGCTCAACACTGAATTTGATTTGCTAGGTGTAAGTAATGATATCTCCGCTACTATAAGAAAGACCTTGTTATATAGAGATGTTGAAAAGATTAAGTTGACTATTATGTAAAAGATATTGACTTTTGAAAGTTTAATAAATGTTGATTGACCGTTTGTAATTAATAATCAAAATAATAATTTACTTCATTTGACCAAATCTAAGAAGACTTTGAATACTTTTTTGTTGTTCATATCTACATAATAAAATATTTAAAATATTTTTGACTATAGACCAATCCAGTCCGAAACCAAAATTAGATTATTATTTTTAAAAAATTGAAAAAGAACTAAAGTAATGTGCAAATATATATATATATATATATATATATATATATATATATATATATATATATATATATATATATA